AATTGCGAGTTCCACTGTAGTGTCATCTAGCGGTGAATAGACGAACTATTGCGAACGACGATGTAAGTGCTATCTAGTGGTGAATAGTCAAACTGTTACGAACTACGGTCTAAGGAAACGGGATTATATTGGTAAATGTTATTAATTTACGTATGTTAAACAACTTGTTAGCTATGGAAACGGAGTATTATGGGTTAAAAATGGATTTTCCCATTAACAATTACCACGTTTGTCTTATGGAGGATAAATAAACTGTTGCAGTCTGCTTGTTTGGTGATATATTTTGATCGAACTTGCCAAATTTGTTCACTTGCCAAAACAAAGGGAATTGAGTTCGATTTAATGTCAACCGATAGCGCTGCCGTTCCCAAACTTTAGCCCTTAACTGTACTTAAGTGATGCCCTTTCTTATTTGCACATCTACGTGAAAATACCTTCAATTTGACACCTCAAACGTTAAAATCCGTCTCTCCGTTATCAAGTTATCCGTTATCAAGACTGTGTAAAGAGAACTGCTTGCATATCAATATATAGATTCCACATCTGCAAATGCATGTTTAGTAATTAAAATATTTAACACTTTTATTTAAGACTATTAACGATTATGCACTCTCACACTTCTTAGGTCGTGTAAGGAATCAGCTAAAAGTGGGGTGTAAGGGATAGGTGGTTTTGTTTGCTCAAGATGTAGTCGAAATTACAAATCAGCTTCCTCTAGGACTTTCCGAAGCAGGCATAATAGTATTGATATGATATAGTACATGGGTGGAGAATATTAATAAACATTCCACATCTGCAAAATAAAAAAAAATAAATAAACAATTCTTTATAGATTTATGACAACAGCTAATTTGAACCAAGCAGCAACAAAAACCTGAGTGTGAGAACTTTACATCTTTCTATTGTTTACGTGAAGTGGTAGAACATTATGGCTATGGTAGATATTCTATATACTATAGTATACCGTAGATTATAGTAAACCAAATTTTCTCAAAACGTGTCCTCTCTCATTGCAAATGCAAAGCACGAGTATTTAACTACAACTAGTGAACCTGTGCGGCTCAATGCCCCGCAAAAAAGATATTAATTTAGAAAACGAATTCATCGTGTTATATATTGACTTGACGTCGAAAATTAAATTCAGTAATAATAAAGCCTTAAGTAGAAGGGAAGCAGTCCAGCCATTTTCCAGCTGTATGCGTATTATATTTATTAAATTAATAAGTGCTCAAGGTTAAGTATGCTATAGCCTAGTGTAGTTATTTTTTAAAGATTTTTAAAAACAAATTTAACAAAACATTTTATCATATCAAACCAATTGGCCTATGTAGCATATTTTGAGGGTCATAAAATGCTGCTTGAAGAAAACACTTTTAAAAATAAACACTAAAAAACAATATTTTTATCAAAAAAGCACTTCCATGAGTACTACGATTTTAGTCTTAAAGTTACCTTCAGGAATATTACCCTGGTCAGAATTTTCCGTAATGAATATCCGTATCCTATTAAAAGATGTAGACTTACTTAAAACAACAAATATATATATATATATATATATTGCTCATGACTGAAATTGGTTTGGTTAAGAACAGTGCTGCTCTTTAATTAAAGTGTTTGTGCTGCAAATGAAAAAAAAAACAGAAATTAGCATTCTTTCCATTTTAAAAGATAAGTTTGTTTCAGACGGGCAAATTTTTATCCTCGAAATCAAAATATGTCCCTCCTCACTTGTTCCAGTTAGGACTTTACATTTTACTTTACATTGTTGTTAACCGTTCTTATCACATGAAGCCTTTGTGCCATTAATGAGGCCCTTTTTGATGTATTAATATCAATAAAACCACTGCCCCCTTTTATTAGTATAATCTGTGTCTTGGCAATCCACCGACCTCTATATTTAAAAACTCAGTTGGATTTTCTAGATGGGTGTCTCCGCCTTCGCCTGTTTTCGAGGACCCACTCTTCTTCCCCATGGCATACCGACAATTAATTACCAAACTTGTCAAGTTCATGTCGTAATTCATTAATACTGTTAATTTATAAAGAAAATTAGATAAAACGTTACTTGGCTTGGTGCTTTCATAACTGCAAACTCAAAATACATCACCCACAAGTAAAAAAGAATCAAGTTATTGGTAAAAAAAAACTATTTTTGTGTAAAAACATTATTCGCATGAAGTAGATGATTTGTTTGATTTCTCGATCAGCTGTTTCGTTTCTAATGAATTAATAATGTCAAAGATTTGTGATTTTAAATACATCAATTATTATAGTAAAGTTTTCTAAATATGGTAACTTATTCTCAACTAAATTTTACTATTCCCAGCATGAAAATAAAGTAGTGAGATCCATTATGAGTAAAGTTTAAGGCACACAATCCTTGATTGAAATGTAGTATACATTAACAGTCATAATACACAGCAATTATTATGTAGTTTTTTTTTTTTTTTTTTTTTTTTTTGTCCTAGGACGCTAGGCACGAGCCTGGGATTGTTTTTCACATTACTTCAGGCTAGACCTAGGGGTTGCGGCATTATCACTTAGATAAAATCCATTGGTGACTTGGCGGGGATCGAACCCGGGACCTCACGGACCGAAGTCCCGCGCTCTAGCCACTACGCCAGCTCGCTCCCCAATTATTATGTAGTAGACTTTGACTATTTTCAAGTAACAAACATATGTTTCTGTAAATAAAAATTATCTCCCATGTTATCCTTATGGAGAAATGCCAAACTTTAAAGGGCCCTAGGGCCTCACTCTCTAATTATTTCCCTAAAAAGAAAGTTTCCTGCACAACTTCACGTTACGCTCTTTCCAATGACACCAAAAACATGTCGATCGGTTCAGTAGTTTCGGAGGAGTAATTGTCACAAAAATCCTGCTTGCGTATTAAATAAGTACTAGTGTCCCTGTTGCTCGAATTCGAGCAATTTCTAAGTATTAGAGGCGTTATTTTAAAAGTAATAACGGTCATAATTTCTGATGACTTTAAAAGATTCCACCCAAAGATTATGGAAATATTCAAGATGTACATAACAGAATATATCAATTAATCCATGCTCTCTCTCTTTTTTCCATTGTAATATAAACGCCAACCCGAATTCAAATAGTAAATATTTCATTTCAACCAAGTCAGTAAATGTTTGTAGCAAACTTATTGACTATTTAAAATTAACATATGTTCTTCTTCTCACTTTTAATTTCTGACAACAGCTGGAGTTGCATAACAATTTTTGTTTCCCATGTTGATCTTATGGAGAAATACGAAACTTTAAAGGGCCCCAGGGCCTCACTCTCTGATTATTTCCCTAAAAAGAAAGTTTCCTGCACAACTTCACGTTACGCTCTTTCCAATGACAACAAAAACATGTCAATCGGTTCAGTAGTTTCGGAGGAGTAATTGTCACAAAAAACATGCTTGCGTATTAAATAAGTAATAGATAGAAGATATCCTACTTATAATATTATAAATGAGAAAGTTTGGATGGATGGATGTATGGATGTATGGATGTATGTTTGTGACAAGTGAACGCGAAAAATACTGGTCGGATTGGGCTGAAATTTGGCATGATGATAGCTCACATTCCCGATTAACATATAGGCATATTCTTATTTCAAAAATCCTTTTGGGCTCCGCCCCAGTGGCTCTGGAGTTTCCCATGTTAACCTTATGAGAAATGGAATTATTGAATCTTAACAGCTGTTTCAATTAAACAAGTTGGTTCTGTTCTATGATGTTCAATAGCATTAAAGTTACAAGGATTACCAACAGGGTGCAGCACTATTATTTCTTTTACATTTATGACAACAGCTAATTTGCAACCAAAAGGTGAGTGAGCGTAGCAAACGGACTTCAACCTGGAGGCGAGTTAGTGTAGCGAACGAGCTAACCTGAAGGCAAGTGAGCGCAGGGAACGAGCTCCAACCTAAAGGTGAGTGAGCGTAGCGAACAAACTTCAACCAGGACGTGATTGAGCCATGCGAACGAGATAATCTTGAAAATTAAGAAGTTAAACGGGGCAAAGCCCGCGGGTTACAGCTATTCCTACTAATATTATAAATGAGAAAGTTTGGATGGATGGATGTATGGATGTATGGATGTATGTTTGTGACAAGTGAACGCGAAAAATACTGGTCGGATTGGGCTGAAATTTGGCATGATGATAGCTCACATTCCCGATTAACATATAGGCATATTCTTATTTCAAAAATCCTTTTGGGCTCCGCCCCAGTGGCTCTGGAGTTTCCCATGTTAACCTTATGAGAAATGGAATTATTGAATCTTAACAGCTGTTTCAATTAAACAAGTTGGTTCTGTTCTATGATGTTCAATAGCATTAAAGTTACAAGGATTACCAACAGGGTGCAGCACTATTATTTCTTTTACATTTATGACAACAGCTAATTTGCAACCAAAAGGTGAGTGAGCGTAGCAAACGGACTTCAACCTGGAGGCGAGTTAGTGTAGCGAACGAGCTAACCTGAAGGCAAGTGAGCGCAGGGAACGAGCTCCAACCTAAAGGTGAGTGAGCGTAGCGAACAAACTTCAACCAGGACGTGATTGAGCCATGCGAACGAGATAATCTTGAAAATTAAGAAGTTAAACGGGGCAAAGCCCGCGGGTTACAGCTAGTAGTATATATAAATAAGTATAGTATATACTTTAGTGTGCAAACTTGCGTATACTCAATATTCTTGCAGAACGTTTTAGTTTGATGTCTAGGGAGTTTAAAAAAACTGGGTGTTTACCTCCTACCCCCCACGTTTTCCGGCTATGACGTAATCAACATGGCGGCCATTGATTTTTAAAAAAACGTATATTTCGCAAGTGTAAATGAGTGTTGTATAATCCACCCAGCTACCTTCATTATTGTATGTTCTATGTTCTTCAGATCGCTTGAAATGTCTATGCACCACTGGTTTTTAAACAAGTTGAGAATCAATCTTATGGTGAAGTATAATAAAACATTGTATATAAGAATGTATTTATTTCGATCACATGTAAAACTTAAAAGCTAAAAAGGTTTTTGGGATTCAAACCAAAGTCACTTAAGTTTCTTCTTTCTTACAATAATATTTCCATTCTGGTTTCCACCATCTGATTGTCCTATAGTAAGCACTTCCTTGTAAAACATGATTGACTTCTGGATATAGTCTAGTTGGGACCTGGAACAAGATGGAGTAGTTTGTATTGAGCATTGTAAAACATAATTACTGAGTTTTTACATTTTATTGTTAGCCTAGAAATTAGCACATAATATTGCAGATTTAACCACCTACTGTTACACAATCCATATGACTGAGATGCAACTTCTTTTATTAAAAACTGATTTCTAAAAAGTCAAATTTAATATTGTGTTGGGGGTTTGTAGCTCGACTCTCACTCATCCAATTTTAATGATCAATGCCTCAAATGAAAGCCCTTACATCACTGAATACTTTAAGGCTATGAACTGCAAGTGTTCATAAGAACTGAAGATGTCAGAAAAATAATTTTAAAAAATGTTCAAAGTACGAAGCGTCCATAAGAAATGTACAAGGGCGGAGAGTTTTCATTTGAATATATTATCCTCCAAACGGGAATTTTTTTTTAAACGGATACGGTATCCACATTGAAATCCGTGTGAAAATCTAGTATATATAATGATGTGTCATAACACTATCATTACATTTAGATATAGTATTTAATATCCAATATGGTGGATCCATGATGGTGGCCAAAAACACCAGCTAGGCCACACTTTCAGACAAAACACCCTGTAGTACACAATTCACTACACCATCCTATATTATTGTGTCACTTCCTATCGCCACCAATCATACAATTGCTTTATTCAAAATCCCATGAAATTATATATGCCCCACAACTAATAGCCTAATGGGCTTGGTATAGCATTCTATACTCTAACACATCATGATCTACCTGAATCATATACAGTAGTAGCATGGTCTGCATATGACATCAAAGTATTCTACTTGTGTAATACTATACTTAATAACATACATCAAACTCAAATTGTGTCATCTAAAATTCTCTACATGACATACATATTACACTTTACAGTACCTGGTATCAGATGTAGTTGCAGAGGGCTGGACACCTCGGCGCTTGCAAACCTGAAGGTAAAGGTCTCTGCAAGCTCCACGTAGTACGTTCGATTCTTCTTGTCCAGCTGAAACCTTGTTCTTGAGCCTCTGAACTACCATCTCCAAGAAGACACGTCGTTCCTGAGTCTGTCTTTGGACAGTCTGAAAAATCACCAGAGCGATTAGGTAATTTGGATGTCATTTAGATCAATCTCACGCAAGTGTAATATAAGATACCTACCTTGCAACTTTTGTAAGCAGGTTCGGAGAAGGATGACACTCCTTCCAAGATTACAGGAGGAATAACCTTGATTTCCAAGTAATGACTAAACACACCAAAAGTATTGAACCAGATTCCCTTCTTTACTTTAAGTGGATTCTCACCTGAAGCATCACCAGACGATTGTCGAGAGCCTTCATTTGCGTTGACTTCTCCTCTACAAGTTCGATCATCTGCTTCCTCATTTGTGCCTCTAATTCCATCTCTTCCTCGAGAATCCGTAGAATTTCAGCCCTTCTTCCTTCTAGAGTTTGGTATCTATGATGTCAATGAATAATTACTCTTAAATATGGAGGTATGGTAACATTGAGTCAATGCAGTAAAATGGGTTATCTTATTTTCTTACAAAATAAAAGGGTCTTTCAAGGAAGGTAGGCAGTCTTTTTATCCTTATCTGTACCCATTTGCAGGGACCTCAAGCCTGAATGTATAACTTAGAATAGAAACTCAGCAAAGAGGTTAGTTTGGTCTTTTACAATGGCACTGATTGATTTTTATCAGCTAGAACTTTTGACATTGCAGCCTTTTGGTTTCATGAAATGTCTTGCTAAAACGCTACCCACTGAACCATCGAATCATCCAATCATCATAAGAGGGGAATTATAAGTAGGCAGAAGCTAATATTTATTTTGCCTAAAAAGAACTAGGCAAGAAAAGGAAAGGGTAAAAAGAACCTATTTAACTCGTTTGCCTTCATTAAGGTAAGTTAAATAACGAAAAAAAACACATTATATAGCTAACAGATTGTACGGTACCTATTTAAAATATCTCCCACGCTGTTCAGATTTCCTGATTTTGATGCAGCGGCAACGCTTTCTAAAAACTGCTCAAAAACTGAGTACTGTTTTACATACTTCTCCATTGTCTCCTTAATTTGCTTATTGTTGTCAATATCAACGTGTGCGTTTAGTATTTCCTGTTTGGTTTTCACCTGTTCCTCTCTCTGTTCTCTGATAATTTCAAAGAATCTTGATGCAGATGCTCTGTTCTCATGGATGGTCTCATTTGAATCTGTAAAGAGTTTCATGAGTTTCTCTTTATTATTTTCCAGCTCTTCCCATTCTTTCTTGTTGTCCTTTTCTATCTTTGACGAGAGTATTTTCTGCAAAGCAAGGTCTTCAATTGCCTGTCGCTTCTTCAGTTCTGTGTTTTTTAGTGTCAAATGAGGAAGTCGTAGCTCTGAAGGAGGTTGAGGAGAGCTCTCAAATGTAAAGTTATCTGCAAAAATGATAGTACTGAAATGAGTTTTTGTATGAAATATAAAACAACTGTTCATGAGAGAAATAGTGGTTAAAGTCGGTTGCCACAACACTATACGTTTTCTGTTACATTTTACAACACTAAGAATTAACAAATGTAGTCCCGTTATATTTTTAACATACCATTTCTTTGTTCTAGGTCAAACATACATTATAAAAGAAACTCCTTGCATACTAAAAGGTATATTCAAAATATCTAATTATTTTTCTTTTTCTTTTTTTAATAACCTATAACCTTTTTTTAATAGTACCTTTTCAAAATAACACTGAGGCTAAAACATTGTGTAGTAAAAAGTTATCTCTCCTCTCTTTAATAATGGTTTAAGGCTTATTAGGTTTGTATTATGTATAAACTATTACCTAGTAATAAGTAGAGTTAATTACCTCCAAACATATTCCCTTATAATAAAGAGACTATTGTAAAGCTATCGTGTAAAATTCAAATTAAAATTGAAATAATGGTTTTGAAAATTATTATTTTCTAAATTAGCTAACCAGATGATATTTTGTAGTATAATTTATTATGCTCTATTATCTACAGACAAAAGTCAATGAAATTGCTCTGCAACACTCATTGAATTTGGATAGTTATTAGACATTTATTTTCAATTTTGAACATTCTCTACTCCTTTTTTTATCCAATGAGAAACGTTGTTAAAAACAACTCTCACAGAGTCTTCCTACTATTGAGTGTCATTTTCTATTTGATTAGCGAATGTATCATACAGGGAATAAGGTATTACTGTAGGTAGGTATCATCATAGATCGAATATACTCCCCTGGTGGATTTCTCATCCTTATAAAACAGCTGAAGCCAATTTTATTGTTAGATCTGTCTAGTGTACTGTAAAGGTTGTTTTGTTTACAACTTGTTTCTTGCTATTTCAGTCATTTCAAACCTTGTTTAACCAAATAAAACGATCAAATCATAAACAATAACTCGTCACCTAGTTAAATAACAAAACAGTTAGTTAAAATTATGAAATTAACCATAAAATAATAGAAAGAAATGTCGCGATAAGAGTAACCGGACATTAACTAGACGAGAAAAACGAGCTTCAAAATTTACAATAGGATGAGAAGTCTACTTGTGTTGGTTAGTCTATGCATAGACTAATAGCATTAAATATTGATCGACAGCAGTGCTGCGGTTAGCATAAGTTCTGGCGTCCACCGCTAGGAGTGCCGTGTAGTTACGTAGCGTGTGTCGTGTGTGCCATAACTACATGGTGCTCCTAGCAGTGGAAGCCAGAACTTATGCTAACCCCAGCACTGCTGTTGGTCTATATTTAATTATATTTCTCTATGGTTTATGGTATCATGGTAGGACCTGGATTTGGGCCCGGTTTACCTTTTTGTTTTGATGTCCCTGAGTTGAAAAACTCTCAAAACACTTCAATTTTCTGTAAGCGTTCAGCACGTAAGATGTTGTCCTTGTAAAAAATATGACCAGGAAAATCCTGTATGCGAAATAAAGTATTTTTTACTTCAGTAACTAAGTATTTTTATTTTATTTAGTATTATGTAGATTATGAAGCCAAGTACTTAAAACAATTTACCATACCATGTATTGCAACAATTTATAATCTAAACTATCTGTACTAAAATTGCCTGTGTTAGTTTAAAATCTAACTGAAAAAACTAAAACAATTTGTAGAAATATCGGTCCGCGTCTGCTTGTTACAAAGCTAAATCAATGAATACAAACCAAATAATGAACGATGAATGTATTCATTGGCTAAATTTATTTCATGCTCATACATCATCAGTATGCCTTTTTATTAAATAACTTCTTGATCACTTCTTGACCAGCATTGTACGTGTTATTAAATTTACGGAAAGTAAATAAAAGAAACGTCTTATAACACTCCAATCATCATCAGACCCAATAGGCGAATGACAAGAATCTTAATGTAGTCCCTACTTATACCCTATTGGCTACCAGAAGCACGGGCCAGTACATTTTTATAAGTAAACTTGTAATGAGAGTAAGAATGAATTAAAAGAACTTTTATTACCTTTAGAAAGGTTTTTAATAACTTGAACAATACTACATTGAATTATAATTGACTTGTTTACAAACACAACAAAACAATAATAAAGAATTGAAGACACATGTTTTTTACTACATTCTTCCTCCCATGTTAATGAACGTAGTCATTTAAATAATTAGGAGGTCTTCTGCTTCTGAAACTTCTTCTCGGATATGTGTTATGGTTCTCTCCTCTAGAAGCTTCTTGTCTAGGTTGTAAATTCTCGGCAGTAGTATTCATTTCATCTTCTTGGTTCTGTGTTGATGATGGACTAGGAAAGTATTCAGGTTCAGGTTGAGAAGTGGGTAATAGAATATTTTCATCACTCTCAAAATCGGTTTGCTCTATGTCGGTTTGGTACTCACCAACCGGAGCAAGATGACGTGTAGACACGGTAGTTTCTCTTCCGTCAGGCAACTTAACATGAGCATACTCGGCGTTCCCGTGAAGAAGTTGGACCTCTTCAACAAGTGGCTCATACTTGGACGTACGATTGAATCTCTTCAAGTAGACAGGGCCGGAATTGAGAAGCCATGAAGGAGCTGAAACACCATTGTTCCCAGATCTACGTGGATGTAAGAACATACGCTCGTGAGGAGTTTGATTTGTGGCTGTGCAAAGTAATGATCTCACTGAGCTGAGGGCATCCTCTAAAACTGTCTCCCATTGGTTTATTTCTAAGTTAAGTGATTTCAACGCCAGTTCAATTGTTTTCCATAGAATGCCATTATACCTTTCAACTTGCCCATTACCTGCTGGATTGTACGCAGTGGTTCTACTAGTTGAGATCAGGGCCGGACTTAGGACTTCAGAGGCCCTGGGCGAATTTGCCGATGGGGCCCCCAGTATGATTATACGAGAACAATTACGGTACACAATGAAACGCATATTACATGCACACTAATTTTAAATAGGCAATTTCAAGGTGAATTAATATGTAAACCTGTTAGAATAGTATGCTGTATTTTGCATAAACTAATTTTATGTAATATTTTAAGTCTGAAAATAGCTACAATGTACGGTGTTATGTTATGATTTGTTCTTGTTGTAATTGTATTTATAAAATTTTAGTATACCTAATACCAACGCCTTACACATTTTTTTGCAATACATTAAAATGTAATATCCTTTGCAACAAATAATGAAAACTATAGATAAAATAAAATAACAAGGTTTAGTTTAATTTTTTACTGTAATACACATTCTTGCTTGAATGAAAACACAAATAAAAAATAACTAACATTAATTAATGGAATAAGTTATATTTAAACACGTGATGTAAGTCAGAGATAATGCATAAACTTTTAAAGCTTTAATATATTTTATAACTTACTATAATTTTACTAACAAACCTTTTACTAAGTTTATAAGATACAAGTCAAAACAATTTTAAAGTTTACTTTTTATAGATTAATCATTATAAGGTTTAGAACATAGTTATTTCCCCTATAAATAAATGTCACTTCCTACTCTGATACGTTGGTCACGTTGGCATGGCAATTAAAACCCCTTTTCCTATATTTCTTGGCTGCACTAAAACTATAAAACCATAAACTATGACTTATGTTTATTTTCATAGTGGTTTTGGCATGGAATTCTCGTTTGTATAATATGTTAAAGTCCTAGCATGAAAAGTACCATTAAGAACTTTAACGAGTTTTTTCTTGGCGAGTAAAATGTTACAATACAAGTCTAATAACCAATCACAAGCTAACCATTTAAATGAGTAACTGAAAGATGTTTAAATGTATTCAATATCTCAGATTAATACAACACAAACATAACATTCAATATAACATTAATTTGTTCTTTGTAGTGTTTGCAGAATTATTAATAAAATACAACACAAAAGTACGACAATGTCAACCAAAAACACACTGGGAGTAAAGTGATTTAAATTGTTTTGGATAGGCGATAAGACATTGTATGTATGTGTATGTGCGCGTGAGACAGACAGGACTAGACAGGATCCCTTATCAGCTCATTATCATTTATTGTTGCAGTTGCTTGTTGCTTTTTTACGATTTCAGTCGACAACGCTCGCCCGCTCCCAAATAATGTATTTTTTGTCAACATCAGACGACCCTAGTTGTCATAAAATGTCTATATAGATTTTTTTGCCTACTGGCGCTGTATGATTTTGACTCTAACGACTAAATTGAAGATCCAAATTTTGACGTATAACTTAATTACTATTTTACAAAACCTTTTAATTGAATGGTTAATATAATACTTCTGCCCTTTAAAATCGTGATTGGCATATACTTAGAGGTAAAAGAATAACATCTAATAAAACATAAACAGAGCAATGTTTTATTTTTCAAAAGTATTAGAAATCCATTGAATCTCCATTCAACCCAACACAATTGTACAAGTTACGTTCTACGTTAGGACAAGAGTTTTCAGATTATTTATTGTATTTTTTGCCCCAAGCGAAGGGGCCTCCTTCAACTCGATCGCCGCGGCCGTACGTTTGTGTGAACGGCTTCATTGAAACTCAAACTGGTCCGTCACAGCCTAGCAGCTATGCTCGTGTAAACTAGGTCTAAGCGCGGGGCCCAGTGCAACCCTGAGGAAAAGTCCCTTAGAGTCAAGAATTTTGGTTCTAGTAATACCTTAAAATTCACCTAACAATAACCTTAAATATAGGATAACGACAATAAAGCTGTTAAAACAGAAGGCCATTCGGTAAGTGTCTGATTAATTTTCGAAGATATTAATAAAAACTACTGTGCAAGGGGCCCCTTTCGGGGCCCCCCTAGGCCCGGGGGCCCCGGGCGCTCGCCCCGTCCGCCCCTAGGTAAGTTCGGCCCTGGTTGAGATTCCAAGTGAGTTCAAGTAGCTTTTTAAGTCTTGGCTCAGAAATGATGTTCCTCTGTCCTAATGTATGTAACTAGGAACCCCAAAAGTAGAAAATAATGTTTTTAGTTTCGACTTAACTGTTGACGATGACATGTCTGAACAAGGGAAAGCAAAAGGGAACCGTGAAAACTCGTCTACTATTACTAATAAGTAACGGTTTCGACTTGATGAAGGCAGCGGGCCTTTGAAATCGATATTCAGCCGTTCAAATGCAGAAGTGGCTTTAATCAAAATCCCTTTGTGTTTGAAGAATCTAGGCTTCACAGCAGCACACACATTGCAGGAGTTTGTTATTCGTCTGATTTCATCAATCGAGTAGGGCAAGTTTTTACTTCGAACCCAGTGGTACAAACGTGTCACACCTGGATGACATAGATTCGCATGTAAATCAATCAACAGTTTTTCTTGATTTTGGATTGAAGAACATACTCTAGTCAGGGCATCTGCAGCCATATTATCTTCACCAGGTCTATATACAATATCATAATGAAAGCACGACAATTCCAGTTTCCACCTCATTATCTTTTCATTTTTCACTTTGCCATGACGGTTGTTATCGAACATAAAAGAAACCGACCTCTGGTCA